CAATTGCCATGTATTTTTTGTAATTGCCATGTATTTTTTGCAATTGCCATGTATTTTTTTCAATTGACATGTATTTTTTGCTAAACGGCATTTTTGTCCACTTTGGCGCCTCATATTATGCCATGTATTTTTTTCAATTCCCATGTATTTTTTGCAATTGCCATGTATTTTTTTCAATTGTCATGTATTTTTTTCAATTGCCATGTAGTTTTTGTAATTGCCATGTAGTTTTTGTAATTGCCATGTATTTTTTCAATTGACATGTATTTTTTGCTGAACGGCATTTTTGTCCACTTTGGCGCCTCATACTTAATATGCATCGATCCAAATTTGAGTCTTGGAAAGTTTTCATGGTGGCATTCTGACTCGTTTCCAGTACTTAGAAAGGTTTTCATGAAAGCGCAGTGCATTACGGGAAAGCGTAATATAAGTCTCCTTTTCAGCATAACATGCAATGTTCATTATTAAAACATTCCGAGTCGACTCGAGAGGAGTATGTAAATCCATTGCGCCAGGTACGCAGAGCGTACGATACGGCGAAGTTTCGAATTGAAATGAAATATGATGCACATTTAATGCATATACCTGTTCTAACCAAATCCACCTTTTATAACGAGTGTGGCATCGACAAGAGCTTTTCGTTAACCCTTCTGCATTTTACACCACATTGCTTTTTTTTACTGCAATACTCTACACCGGTAGGCGCATGCAGTCGTAAACTGCTTTTGTAAGGATCACGCATCGCTTTTCGTTTCGCAAATGGCCATTCGTTAACGGAAAATGAAAAACATCCGGCCAAATCTAGTGGGCCTTGGTCGCCTGTGATTTAATGTTGATGTATAATTGAGGGAACAGCGAGGGGTAATGGCTGTTTTTTTATTGAAACGACATCGGAAATCCTGAAGAAACAACATTAGGAAACCACAATGCTTTGCGCCCCAAGTTAAAAATAACGTAAGTGAAATCGACATATTCAGTGCCCTCGTTTTCCCACTCTGTCACATTATTTCCCCATGGCAGCGGCTTATTAAAGCAATGCAAAAAACCCTGAGCTGTAGTTTATAAAGGTGTAAAAGTACCGTTATGCTATCGGTTCGCCTATTATTTCCTCGTATAAAAGGCCTTAATTATGTTAGAACTAAAAAAAAAACGCAACTAGCTCACGTAGGCTCATGACCTTGGAACATATTCAGCTTTGTATACCGTGCTCTCGGATGAAATTTCAGCTCGGCGGCTAATGCTCTCCCACCCAAAAGATTAGATAACCAAGCGTCAACAACTTCTTCTTTGAAGATCAATCATTATTTTTTACTG